TCGTCGCTTCCCAGGAAAGTGTGGGAAGTAGGCGGGAAAGAACACACACAGGCACAACGAGTCGTCGCTTCCCAGGAAAGTGTGGGAAGTGGGTGGGAAAGAACACGCACAGACACAACAAGTCGTCGCTTCCCAGGAAAGTATGGGAAGTGGGTGGGAAAGAACACACACACACACACACACACACACGCACACACAGACACAACAGCTTGTCGATTCCCAGGAAGATGTGGGAAGTGGGTGGGACGATGAGGCTCCAGAAAACAGATTGAAAGGTATGGGGCAATCCTGGGACTTGTGCTTACTTGCGTACTTGTGTGTCCCTGGGCCCCTTCAATCAAGGCAGTGGGCGACCATGACATCCAAGATCCCCTGGAACGGGCGGGGAAGAGGAGGGGCGCCGCGAGGCCAGAGGAGACACCCTGGGGGGGAGGAGGGGAGGGGAGGGACCGTCTCCTCGTCCTCGCCCTTCCCTGTCTCGGGGCCTCCTCCTCCCCCTCCGCCTGCGACTCCTCCTCCTCCTCCCGCTCCTCCTCCTCCTGCTCCCCCTCCTCCTCATACTCCTTCTCCTCCTCCTTCTCCTCCTCCGACTCCTCTTCCGACTCGCGATCGCCGGAACTCGGGTTTGCCGACGCTTCTTGACTAGCCCGTCCTGGGTCTTAACGGTCCAGTTTCCGTCGGATGTCTGCAGCAGGAGCTCGCGTCAGATTTCAGGTCGGGTCTCGTCATGTTTCTGACGGCCCCGTAAGGCCAACCCGAGTGCCCCTAGCCCGAGTCTTACGTCTTCCCGACTGACATCCTCTAGTTGCGGAAGATGTCACGACGGGAGGTTGTTGTTCATTTTCCACTTCTCGGCCCTAGGACAGACATCGAACAACCTGCCTGAAAAGCAGGGCCCGGGGGAGAGGTCCAGATCTCTAGACACCCCAGAAGAAGTCAAGACATCGGATCTCTGAGTCGGTCCCCTAAGTCTCGCCCTCGCTCTTACCCTGCATCCTCCTGCGCACACCCTCCTCCTGGTGCCTCCTCCTTGTCCTCCCGCCCGCTTCTGCCTCCTCCCTCCGCCTCACCTTAGAACCGACCTGCCGGCACGCTCCAGGGATGCGCGCGTCGTGGCCGCGAATGTTGAAAGGAATCCAGTCGTGGCGACGAGAGGCCTCGGGGAGGTCGAGAAGGTCCAAGCCTAACCAAACACTTCCATCCTCAAGCCTCTTTGGGTCGGACGATAGCAAAGGGGGACGGGGGGGAGTGCGCCATCTAGACAAAAAACACCGAACCCTTATCAGAGTGAGGGGGCCGAACGGTCATTCATTGTCCCTGGGTGCGTGGCTGAATAGGGAGCTCGTGGCGAGAATTCTGCTTGTTGCGTTGTTTGTGTTGTTGTTGCTTTTGTTGTTGTTGTTGTTGTTGTTGTTGTTGTTGTTGTTGTTGTTGTGACTGCTGGTGTTGCTGCTGTTGTCGTTGAACTCTCGCTGCTGAAGAAGAATAACTATTGTTGATCCCCCCGCCCGGTGCACATTTAATTTTTCAATTGAAGTGCCCCTCCCGGGGCTCGCACCCTGTTTTTTACCAGGGGAAGTCTTGAGGCTCAAATTGTGTTGTTGGCCCCCGGTCTACAACAACAGCGGCTCCCGCTTTATTCGTCTTCACAATTTAGCGAGGACCCCCGCTCCCGCCTGAGACTTCCTTGCATCTGATTCAGGAATCGCGCGTTCGCTTGGGACTCCCTTTCAATTTTTTAGGAATCGCTCTCTCGGCGCTCTGGAGTCGCGCTCTTGCTGGAGACTTGCTGCTTGCAATTTACTCAAGAATATCACCCTTGCGTTGGAACTTCCCGCAATTTACTCAAGCGCCACGCTCCCGACACTCAGGCACCCAGGAGTCACGCTCACGGTTAGGACTCCCTCACGGATTATTTAGGAATCTGGATCTCGCTGCCCTTCGTGGCCCCGTTGCAGCCCTTCGTGGCGCCCTCGCTGCCCTTCGTGGACCCGTTGCAGCCTTTCGTGGCCCCCTCGCTGCCCGTCGTGGTCCCGTTGCAGCCCTTCGTGGCCCCTCGCTGCCCATCGTGGCCCCGTTGCAGCCCTTCGTGGCCCCCTCGCTGCCATCGGAGGTGAGGGGGTGAGATCGAAGTGGAACGGAGAGCCCCCCTACCGGGAAATCGATTTCGGTTTCGTGTTCGTGCGTGCCGTGCGGGCGAGGCGAAGCTGCGTGGGCGGGCGAGAGAAAGTCTCCTGTGGCTGAGGCGCGGCCGGACCAAATGACTCCCTTCCGGGCGGCCGGGGCCCGCGGTGTCCCGCCAGTGTCCCGCTGGTGTCCCGTGTGGCTGAGGCGCGGCCGGACCAAATGACTCCCTTCCGGGCGGCCGGTGTCCCGCCAGTGTCCCTCCGGTGTCCCGCGGTGTCCCGCGGTGTCCCGCGGTGCCCCCCGCCGGTGTCCCGCGGTGTCCCGCAATGATGATGATGATGATGATGATGATGATGATGATGATGATGATGATGATGATGATGATGATGATGATGATGATGATGATGATGATGATGATGATGATGATGATGATGATGATGGTGATGATGATGATGATGATGATGATGATGGTGATGATGATGATGATGCTGCTGATGATGATGCTGATGTTGATGCTGATGATGATGGATGATGCTGATGATGATGATGCTGATGATGATGATGATGATGATGATGATGATGGTGTCCCGACGATGATGATGATGATGATGATGATGATGATGATGATGATGTCGATGATGATGACGATGATGATGCTGATGCTGATGGTGTCCCGATGATGAGGATGATGATGATCATGATGATTATGTTGATGATCATGATGATGACGATGATGGTGTCCCGATGATGATGAGTATGATGATGTTGATGTCGATGATGCTGATTATGATTGTGTCCCGATGATGATGATGTTGATGCTGATGAGGTTGATGATGATTATGGCGTCCCGATAATGATGATTATTCTGGTGGTGATGATGATGATGATGTAGTGAGACCGAATGTGATATCGATTGTGAGATCGATTGTGAGATCGATAGTCAGATCAATTGTGAGATAGATCGAGTGAGATCGATTGTGAGGTCGATCGGGGGAGATCGATCGAGCGAGACCGATACTGAGATCGATAGTGAGATCGATAGTGAGACCGATCGAGTGAGACGTTGGTTCCTCCCCCCCCCCGAACCTCCTTATCACCCGAAGGGTGGTCGTATAGGTATGTATACCCTTCGTGGCCCCCGTTCGTTCGCGCCCGTCGTGGCCCCATGTGCATGCCCCTCGTGGCCCCGTTGCAGCCCTTCGTGGCTCCCTCGCTGCCCTTCGTGGCCCCGTTGCTGTCC